GGATGGAGGGATGGATCCATGGGTGGAGGGATGGACAGATCCATGAATGAATCCAAGGATGGATGGAGGGATGGATCCATGGGTGGAGGGATGGATGGATCCATGACTGAATCCATGGATGGATGGAGGGATGGATCCATGTGTGGATCCATGGAGGGATGGACAGATCCATGGAAGGATCCATGGATGAATGGAGGGATGGATCCGTGGGTGGAGGGATGGACAGATCCATGAATGAATCCAAGGATGGATGGATGGATGGATCCATGGAGGGCTCCACAGGGGGACGGACGCATCCCTCCCGAGCTTCCAACTTCCCGTAAAACATTCCCCTTCCCGGCCAGTCCCCTTCTGCCTGGATCCCAACTCTGCCGCCGGCTGGCTCTCCGTGTCCGAGGACCTCTCCAGCGTCTCCGTCTGCAGCTACAAAACCTCCGTGGAAAACCCGGAGCGCTTCACCTCCGCCCCCTGCGTCCTGGGATCCCGCGGCTTCTCCGAAGGCTTCCACACCTGGGAGGTGGATTTGGGCGGGCTGACCAGCTGGAGGGTGGGCGTCTCCAGGCCCTACACCAACTCCCACGGGAGTTTCCACCACGATTCCCGCACCGGCTTCTGGTACATCTACCACCTGCACAGCAAGGACGAGTGCCGGGCGTCCAACGCGCTGCGCTCGGAGGCGGCGCGGTGGAACATCCAGCGGATCCGCGTGGAGCTGGATTGCACCGAGGGGGAATTGTCCTTCTACGACGCTGACCTCCAGAGGCACGTCTACACCTTCCACGAGAAGTTCGGCGGCACCGTCTTCCCCTATTTCTACGTCGGCAATTCCCAGGGGAGCGCCGAGGCCAAGATGCTCCGGATTTGCCCGCTCCGGGTCCGTGTCCTCGAGGATGTCCCCACCTGACGGGATGTTCTCCCAGGTGCTTCTCCAGCTTTTCCAGGGGTGAAAAAAAATTCAAAACAGAAAAAAAAAAAAAAAAAGCAGGGATAAAAATAATTCTTTGTTGGCGATGTCTCCGGTTTTTATCGTGAATAAATATTAATAAAGAAATATTAATAAATATTAGGGGTATTATCCGCGTGGCTCCCCTGTTGTGGTTCTGTTCCCGAATCCCGGATTTTCCTGCCCCTCTCGGAGCAGGGAATGCTCTGGGAAGAAGGGATTTCCCTGATAAACAAGGAATTAACCCGTTGAGGGGCTTTTCCCGCTGTTTTCCGGGATCCAGGAATTCCTGCTGTGAACGGCGATCCCTATTCCCGGTTCCTGGAAATGGGAAAATCCCGTGGGATTTGTCAGGACAAGGGGTGCCTCCACATGGAAAACCATCGGTGGGAACATCCCTGGGAGTATCCCACCTCCTCCACCCTTTCCCCCACGGCTTTATCCCTCCGAGGGGTTTTTTCCCGGAATTCCCAGCTCTGGGAATCCGGTGAAGATGCCTCGTTGGTGTTGGGAAATGGAGGAAGTTTGGAATTTTTACCTGGAGTTAATCCCACCCGAATGTTTTTTTCCCAAATCCAGGTAAATCCTTGGGATTGTGGGTGATTCCATGGGGAAAGGGAAGAGACATTCCCGCCCTTTTCCTGCCCTTTTCCTGCCTTTTTCCTGCCTTTTTCCTGCTTTTTTCCTGCTTTTTTCCTGCCTGGATTCCGAAGGGAGTGGGTGGTTTCCATGGTTTCCCATCGTTTGCTTGGGAAGAGCCGGAGGAGGGAAAACAGCTGGAGCTGGGGGCGACCCCGGGATCGTCCCACGGCCTATCCCGAGGAAAAAATGGATTTGCAGCATCCCAAATCCCTGCATCCCATCTGCCCTCCCTCCATCCCATCCCGTTATCCCATCCCATTATCCCATTCCATCCCATCCCGTTATCCCATCCCATTATCCCATCCAATTATCCCATCCCATCCCATCCCATCCCATCCCATCCCATCCCATCCCATCCCATCCCATCCCATCCCATCCCATTATCCCATCCCATCCCATTATCCCATCCCATCCCATCCCATCCCATCCCACCCCATCCCATTTTGTCCCAATCCCATCCCCAACCCCAACTGCAATCCCAATCCCAATCCCCAATTCCCAATCCCCATTTCTCCCCAATCCCAGTATCAATCCCAATCCCATCCAAAATCAAAAACCAATCCCAGTCCCAATCCTTATCCCCAATTCCCAATCCCAATCCAAATCCCAATCCAAATTCCATCCCAACCCCATCCCAGACCAATCCGAATACCCATCCCATTCCCAATCCTAATGCCAATCCCAATTCAAATCCCATTCCCAATCCTAATGCAAATCCCAATTCCAATCCCATTCCCAATCCTAATGCCAATCCCAATTCCAATCCCATTCCCAATCCTAATGCAAATCCCAATTCAAATCCCATTCCCAATCCTAATGCCAATCCGAATTCCAATCCCAATCCCAATCCCATTCCCAATCCCAATCCCAATCCCATTCCCAATCCTAATGCCAATCCGAATTCCAATCCCAATCCCAATCCCAACCCCATTCCCAATCCCAATCCCAATCCAATTCCCAATCCCAATCCCATCCCCAATCCCAATCCCAATTCCATCACATCCCATTTTATTTTTAATATTATCTTTAATTTTATTTTCTTATTTTAACTTTAATTTCAAATTTTATTTTATTTTTTATTTTATTTTATTTTAGTATAGTTTCATTTAGGTTTTAGTTTTAGTTTATTATTATTTTCACTTTTATTTTTAATTTTTATTTTTATTTCAGAGTTTTTTATTTTATTTTTACTTTTATTTTTACTTGAATTTTTATTTTTAAATTTTTTTTTAAATATGTTTTGATTTTTTCGGTTTTGATTCATTTTTAGATTAGGCTTTAAATTCTAATTTTCAAATTATCTTTGCTTTTTAGTAGATTTTTTAAAAATTTATTTTTATTTTTCTTCTCTGGTCTTTTTTAACTTTAATATTAAAATTGTTCTATTTCTAAAATGTTAAAATTAACTTTTATTTTTATTGACTTTCATTTTCACTTTTATTTTAAAACTGCTTTTTTTCCCTTTCTATTTTTGTTTTTTAGACTTTTAAAAATTTTTTGTTTAATCCTATTTTTACATTTACATTCATTATTCTTTATATGTTTACCTTAATTTTAAAATCTGAATTAATTTGTGCTTAAGTAAAGTATTTTCTTCTTTTTTTATATTCCTTCTATATAATATTTTGCATTTTATATTTCATAGATATATTTTATATCTATTCAATCATAGCTATTTATTTAACATATATTTTTCCATTTCTTTTGGCATTATTTTGAATTTATTTCGTATTTTTTGGGGGGGGTCGTATTTATTTTTATATTTCTTTTCTGTCATATTTTCAAGGGTTTATATTTATATTATTTTATATTCATTCCATATAACTTAAATTTATTTTCTATTTATTTTCGCATTTATTTAAAATTTATTCAATATTCAGTTTTGTTTTTATTTTAAATTGATTCCATATTTATTTTTGCGTTTGTTTTAAATTTATTTTATATTCATTTTTGCAATTATTTTAAATTTATTTTATATATTTTTTTCATTTAACTTTATTCTGCATCTATTTTTGTATTTACTTTAAATTTATTCCATATTTACTTTTCCATTTATTTTCTTTGATATATATATTTGCATTTATTCAACATTTATTTTATATTTATTTTTTCATTTACTTCAAATTTATTCTCTATTTCTTTTTGCATTTATTTTAGATTTATTCCAAATTTTTTGCCATTTATTTTAAAATTTATTTCCTATTTTTTTTGCATTAATTTCCCCCATATTTTTCCCATTTTTCCCATTTTTCCCACCATTCCCGGGATCCCCCTGGACCCCTCCCAGGATTGGGGGCGGGGCCTCCACAAACGGCGCCTTTCCATTGGCTGCCTCTCACCGATGATGTCATTTCTGACCAATCAGCGCCCGACACCGCGCCTTTGCCCCGCCCCTCCCCTCCCTCCCGGTACCCGGAGCATCCCAAGGATTTGGGGGGTTTTGGGGGGATTTTGGGGGATTTTGGGGAATTTTGGGGGATTTTAGGGGATTTTTGGGGGTTCTCCGGGAATCCTGGGAGCCGCCGGCATTCCCAGGGACAGGAATCGTGGGAAGGGAAAGGTTCGGGATGGGAAGGAGCTGAAATCCCACCCCGGCACCTCCCGCCCTCCCAGGGTGATCCCACCTTTCCTTGGACACTCCCAGGGATTCTCTGGGAATTCCAGCCCAGCCGGGAATTCCTGCCCAAGATCCCACATTCCCAAGCTCCCCTTTCCCACTGGGAATTCCATTCCCTGGCTCCTGCCCCTCCAGCCCTTCCCCAAATTCCAGCTCTCCCGGAGCCCCTTGGGGATCGGGAAGCGGCTCCAAGGATTCCC